ACAACTTGGACTTTACATGTTGACTTCAGTATACTCAGGCCTCAATTTGAGCAATTGGTGTTCTATCAGTCACACATCTTATATCTTATGTAATAATATCTATTATAGACATCCATACACTAGTTGTAAACCAGTCTGTTTTAAGGCTGTAGAAGCAGCTTTATAGTCTATTAGAAGAAGGGCAATAACATGTGATAGAAGACTTTAAGTTGTTACAATGTGCTTGTTTCAGTAGTGATACAGAGGTACAATATCCAGATAATGCTCAAGAATAGTGGTATCAGTGGTGGATGTCCAAGTTCTGCTATGGTACAGGAGAGGATGGTGAAGAATTTCTCGGAGTCCAGCAAAGAGCGCTATATATTGCTGCTATTCTGTGCTATAGTGTGAGCTTGTGTAGTGTAGTGGTTGAACATGCTATGTTGAACACTGAAATTGCAGGATGCTGGTTCAATTCCCTGTGGTGGCATTTTTTTTTTGCCGCCGCTGCACCCACTAACAAATATTGTACACTTGACCTTGATCAAGAGCAGCTGTCCTTTGATTGACTTCCATGCATATCATCTTTATTTAATACATCTCACAGTGAACTTGGGCATGAACTTGAACAGGGACTTGGAGGACTTGGCCAAGTACCTGGTACTTGGCCAAGTCGACCCACCCGACTTGGCCAAGTCCATTGGACTTGGGGTACTTGAGGTACTTGAGATACTTGAGGTACTTGGCCAAGTACCCCAAGTACCTGTACAAGTCCGTGACGTTTTCCTGATGTAATCCAGTCGCTCGCTCGCTCGGTTGTCTTGCTGATTCTGTTGAATCTCATATTATGTAATTGAGCTCACATTGTGCTCACGCTGGTCTTGTTTCGTCTCGTACTGTATATTTTGTCTCAGAGTCTTGTTTACATGTATATATATAGTCTGGCTCGCAACGCGTAGTACCTCACGCGTTTGCACTGCGCCCAAACGCGACTTCCTTTTTTCCTACAGATTCATCTCCGGAGTCTGCGCGGACATTGTGTTGATGAGCAGGTAGATAAAGCGCTAGGGGTTTCGTGCGTCGATGGGCTTTGCAGACTCGTTCCTCCAACATATCTGTACTCTGGCTTAATAGGACCGATGGGAGTGTAAACAAGACGTAACATGACCGCAAGCCTTCTGGAACGATGACTCTCTTTGTTGATTGTGAGCGGAGTCATATCGACTCGCTGGTGTCATTGTTCGACAAGTTTGGAAAGACTCGCAGACTCACAGCTCGATCTGCCCTCACTACTCGCGCAACCGAGCTGATGCCGTATGGCATGAGGCAAATAACAACTCCGCCATGGTTCGGATGGTGGTGCCGGCTTTGATCAGTGATGTGCCTACAAACACGTTACAAATGCGTTATATGGCGGATGCTGTTCTCTAGCAGGAACAGCAATGTAGATGAAGTGACGGCAGACGTTAGCAGTAGGCTAAGGTATCATTGATTCATTAGCGCTATATTCCGATCTTTGGCACACAACCCTAACCTGAAGTGGGCAATCCTTACACGGCGGGTCGACTGCTGTTGGGCAGACTGACTTGATATCTCCGAACATTGACATGAGGACTACGGCGGTGGCAGGTACACATACGCGTCCTCTCATGAGCCACCCGCGACTCCACGTTGGCCCTTGGGGCCAACGCGAACGAAGATCCAAATCCGCCAGTATACTACTTCGAGAGTTGGCTCATTTCCGTACGCCTTAATCGTCTCCTTGAAAAAGTGTTTTACCGGGACCAATGGGTGGTCAGTCACCCAATGGACGGGTAGAGTCCGCGGACTGGTGTCGTCCACTCGTACTCCGGCTGTTGCAATGTGCTGCCCGCCCTCTGACTCGAGGTAATCCGGAGCAGTCCCGCGGATCATGTGGTCAACACTAGGCAGCTCTATCACGCCGTCGAACATCACGTAGGACATCATGCGGCTCCATTGTGACTCCCGGGCTTCGTAGACGATTTTCAGAGACGCATCCAGGGAGCACTCGCGCAAGACCCTCAGGATGATGCCATCAGTCGCTTTGAGGCGAGGTTCGAGGTCCTTCAGAGCTTGTTTGGCCTCAGCCGCGCTGTCATAGGACTTCGCGAGTGGGTATTGATGGGTGAGGCCAAACATTAGGTTGCCCCCATCGGGCAGGAACATCGGGCTGTCGATGAGACCACGCAAGGCATCCCTGAACGCCTGCTCGTTGGTGGATATCGGGCGGAGCACGGGGAGCGACGATGCCAGAGTCTTGTCGTTGCTGTGGTAGAGATTGTAGGTGATCGTCACGCGATGTCCAGAGGTGACGGGCATCACCTCGTGCTCGATGTCGCTGAAGAACGCGATATAGGCGATGGAGGGATGCGTTTGCTGCGCGAGCAGCGCGGACGAGTCGAACGTCCATTCACGAATCTCTCCCTCCTTGTGCCCCTGTGCGCGCAGCTTCAAAGCACCTCCCTCGTGGGAGGGCGGGAAGACGATGACGAGAGAGCCAAACATGAGCTCACTACGGGGAGTGTCGACGTGCGGCTTGAAGAATGCGCCCTTCCCTGTTGTTGGGAACCGTAAGCGGCACGGCGTCATGGAAGAAGTCTTTACGAACCATACACATTGAGCTTGTACAGCTCAGTTCTGATGCCCTCGCCATCGGACTCCCTGTCGTTCTCAATCAGCAATTCGGAGCGGATGGCATCGATCAAGTCCGAGCGATTGATGTCGAATCCGATCGCGAAGTCGTTCTTGTCGAGCTTGCCGGCTTTGCGATATGTTTCGTCGTGAACGTCTTCTCCGCCGACACCAAACGTAGCTGGGTCACAAGCCTCTGCGAGATGCTCCAGCTGGGCTACGGGCGCCGTGGAAAGGTTGATCCGACTGAACAAAGTATCTCCGTGAGCGCGGCAGTGGAGAACGCCTCGAACATCACGCACCTTGCATTTCCTTCTTTGCCGTAGAAGAGCGTGAAGTCGCTGTCAGGCAACTGAAGCGTGCCTTGGCAGAAGGGCGGCTTCTGAACGAGAGTAGATTTCAAGTAGAGCAACTGGTTGCGAGTCAGGTTCGCTAGTTTGCTCTCTTTCCGCCTGGGTGGCATAGTGCGAACTGGTGCAGCTAGAGATATCAGCAGAGAAGCAGGTCGACGGGGAGAGCTATGAAGAACAACGTCTTTGAATTTCCTTTTCTCCCCTCCTATTTGTGCCGAAACGCCTACCGCCCCCTGTCGAGAGCTCTGGCCTTGCGCGGGACACGGAGAGGATAAACAAGACGTAAGACAGGCGCCATGTTTCTGGAGTGATTGTTCTTCCTGCCGATCGTGAGCGGAGTCATCTCGACTCATCCTCTGTGGTCGTTATTGATCGACAGGAATGGAAAGACTTGCTAATAGCAGCTCACGGCCCTCACTGACCGTGCAGGCGAGCTGTTGTACTAGAACCCACGAGGCAGATGGCGAAAACCATGTATCGCCGCGAGTCTATAGTTGGCTAGTGATTATCTTGGACAAGAGCATATGATCGCGAAACAACGAGGTCAGCTCAAGGCAGGGAACCAGAATAGCTTCACGATGCATGTGCGCATCATGGTGCATCTTCCCCATATCAGCCCTGCAAGTTCGAAGTAGGAGGTCCACGGAAGGCTACCGACGAGAAACCATCTACGGCTCCGTGACAAACCCTCTTGGGACCATTGCATACGACGGCACTGTGCACCCTCGCAAAGAAGCGAAGGCATCCACGTCCCATAAAGGACAGGGCTGAGCTCCGAGAACCACAGGAGCCGCGAAGCTTGATATTTCAGGCAGGATAACGCTCACAGTCCTAGATGGTTTCCAAACGTATCTCATCCCCCTCAAGGTCGAAAAAGTCCCGAGTTCGTTGCTGCGTACATGTGGGTCGTAGTTTGAGTGGAATGGAAAATAAGATGGAATGCAAACGAACCATGACCCGGCTACGCTAGAACGCGTCACGAGAATTCGAGAGTACGCACAGTGTGTAACACATGTGCTCAGTGTGGACTAGCTCGACTCCGGCTTTGGCCGGCAAGCCGAACCCCGGACAGATGTCCGCGGTGGGCGCTAAGATCGGCCATTTGCGACGTCATGATCAGGCTGCCTCGACGGCATCGTTCGCCCACTATGTAGGGCATCTCGAATACACTCAGAAGCTTTCGTTTGCGTTCATTTGCTTCGTGAGGTCAATGAGCTCATATCATTAGGTTTTTCAGAAGACAGTAGGACACCGCTGTGCTCGCGAGAAGCTCTATGCGGGCCGCCGAAGACAGCGTCCTCACATGACTCTTCAATTGGGCATCCTGGGACCCAGGGTAACCTTGATCCCGTAATCCTTCGCCTCATATAGGACGCTATCTCGACAGTCACTCTCATCCATACGCACATCTTTAAATGTCGCCTGCAACGATGTATACCACCGCTTCCATGATCTTCAAGACCCTCGCGGATGCGGGCATAACGCACGCGTTTGTCAACTGGGGAAATGATCATCCGGCATTCTTAGAAGACCTCGAGAGGGGACGGGTCGAGAGCGGGAAGACTCCCATCGAGATCATCACTTGCCCCCACGAAATGGTCGCACTAAGTGCTGCGCAGGGTTATGCTCAAGTCACAGGTAAACCGGCAGCTGTCATAGTACACGTCGATGTCGGAACACAGGTATGTTCCAGCAGTGAATTGAAGACATTTCACAATATGTGCTTTCGGATGCTTACATCAACTGGAACGACCTCTCTAGGGACTCGGGGGTGCCGTCCACAATGTCGACAGGGGACATACCCCCGTCATTATCATTGCCGGTGCCGCACCTCAATCTTCAGATAGACGTCTGAAGGGTACCAAAAACGAATGGCCGATGTGGTACCAAGGTGATCCGTTTGTTCACCTCCTCAGCTAACGCGTCTCACGCTCTGCCCCAGATGTCCCGGATCAGTCATCGATTGTGCGACAATACATGCGATTCACCGCACAGATACAAAGCGCAAAGAATACTAGGCAGATGGTTATGCGTGCATTGCAGATGTAGGCTCGGATATCGATGACATATGTACTTTGCTCACGAGCCGTTATTCAGCGCGACGAGCCAGCCGAAGGGTCCCGTATACCTCTGGGCTCGGCGCGAGACTACCGAGGAAGAGGTCGATGCATCGATCTTCAACGAGAAGCTCGATATTTCTAAGTGGCCATCGGTGCAAGGTGGTGGACTCCCCAATTCAGGTAACACACTACTTACTATCGGGACTTGCACTCGCCTGCTGACTATATCATTCCTCAGCGTTGAAGACAATTGTAGATGCGCTCCTTGTAGCCCAATTCCCGCTCATCATCACTGCAAACTCTGGACGAAACCCAAAGACGGTTCCTCTCCTCTCGGAGCTATCAAGCCTCCTGGCAATCGGAGTATACACGTCCTGTCCGATGTCCGTGTGCATTCCGTGGACGCACGAAAACTACATCGGTTCGGCCTTTGGGGGAAAGAACGACCTACTCGATCACGCCGATCTCCTAATCCTCCTAGAGGTCGACATCCCATGGGTCGAGGCCGCAGGAAACAAGCCTCGCGACGACGCACGTGTCTTCATCATCGACTCGGATCCGCTCAAGACGAACCTGGGCTGGTCGCACGTCGACGCCGAGCTTCTGTGCAAGGCCGATCCCGAGACCGCCCTTCAACAGCTCATTTCAGCGCTCGACGTCCCAGAGGTCAAGAACTTGGTCGCGCCCAAAGTAGCATCTCGCCGGGCGCGTCTGAGAGAGACTCGCTCTGCGTGGGTGGCGGCTCAAGAGTCGGCCGAGGCCGTCAAGTCCGTCACGGGAGAGCATCCCGATGTACCGTTCGTACTCGCGACCCTGCGAAACGCTGTCGCTACCCAAACGCCGAGCAAGGGTGAGAAGGTGCTTTGGGTCAACGAGGCTATCAGCAGCTATCCCCTCTGCTGGGCATACCTGCGTCCCGAGCAGCCCGGAAGCATGATTGCGTCTGGGGCGACCAGCATCGGCTATGGCCTCGGAGCGAGCATCGGGGCTTACCTTGGTGGGGTGGTTGCGAACAAGGACTATGAACTGATAGCGTATGTTGTCGGCGATGGAACATTCCTCTTCGGAATTCCTGCTAGTGCGTATTGGATCGCGAAGCGGTATGACACGGTAAGTGTGGGCTTGTTTTGATGCAACGACAGCGACTCACGATGATGCTGTCGTAGCCATTCCTTACAGTGATCCTCAACAATGGCGGCTGGAAGGTATCTGTCTCTCCGCTGCTATCTCTGACAAGGCCATGCTTACCACTAGACCCGCTCAGTCCCCTAAGCTCTCTATGCTTGGCGTATACCCCAACGGCTTAGGAAGCGTTGCCTCGGGCAACCAGCTCACCGTTGGGTTTGGGCCCGATATGCCCGATTTCTCTCAGGTTGCCGTCGCAGCGGGCGGTGCATGGGGAAAGCGTGTAACCAAAGCCGATGAGGTACAGGCTGCCCTGGAGGAAGCTATCCGGGTCGTGTTGCAGGAGAAGAGAAGTGCAGTGGTGGATGTCGTGTTAGAGGTCATTTGAGCCAGGGCGCATGATCGATAATGGTTTTATGAATACGCGTCTGCTCTCCGTTGAAACCCAGATATCTCTCCAATTGGATGACCCCTCGGAGCAACTGGCAATACTGCCTTGCTCTTGAGCACCCCTAAGGGTGCCATGTTTCGGTACCGTGCCATCGCTAACGCCGCCGAACGGAAACCCACGGCACACTGACAGCCTGGGTTCAGATTGTGTCTATGTAAAGGAATACCAGTTGACGATATCGCCAACCACTCCGAGGTGCTTGGAACCATGATGCAATGCCTGCTTTGCTCCGACTCGCTTGGTGTATACCCGACTCGCTTAATGCTGAGTCTTTAATTCTACGTTATGATTGTTGAACAGGCGCTGGTTTACACAGCTTGCCTAATACAGCCGTCACAAGATATGGAACGGCACAGCCGGTTACTGCAATAACCGAGGCTGTACTACTCATGTGGTACACACACAGCTTCGCTGTGTACGCACTGCTTCTCTGTGCGACTGTGCATCCTGGGAATGTACTGTATAGTACTACGTAGCCACAGATGTACAGTAGTATATATAGGGGACCTCTGT